GAAGTAGAGATAGAAGAAGAGGTAGAAGCAGGTCCCCACATAGAAGATAAAGATATTATTAAATTTTAATTTTTATTATATTTTTAATCGTGTATTTTATTAGTTTAATATTAAATATTATAAAATAAATATTTACATACAAAAAATCATATTGTCTTTAATCTTTATTCTTATAAATTGTTTAAATGCCGAAACTCTAATTAAATCATATAGAAAGTATTGCCGAAACGCCGAAACAGTTTCGGCAAGTTACGGCAGTTTCACGATTTTGATAAGTTTCGCAGTTTCGGCATTTCTTGATGATTTTGCGAAACTAGTTTCGGCAGTTTCGCGTACGCCATTCTGCCGAAATCCTCTAGTTTCGGCAAGCAACCTTACCTTGAGTGAGCCTTAGTTCAGTTCTGAAGTGTGAATATTGGTACGGAAGGGTTTCTAGATGATTGCCATTACACCTGCACTGAAAGTCTTCCATTACTAAGACATGCCAGGGTGGCATATAAATTCGAGCTTGTCTTGCCTCTAATATGGATATAGGATGAGTAGGGGTTATAGCTAGCCAATTAGTATTCCGTTGATGGATAGGGACTATTCTGAGGTCAAACTAAAATGGCAGTTGTAGTGATAAAAAGGTTTGGCCTACTGACACCAGTTGGATGGTAGTCATTGGTCAACATTGGACTACCAAGCTATAAATAGGTTCTTAAATATGAATCTTTACCTTAAGTCAAATACAAGACAAATCAGCCCATATAGTCATATGATTTTATAATAGGCCAATTAGAAGTTTCAGACAATTTCAGGAGTTTTGAAAAGATTTTGGAATTTTGGAAGAATTTTGGAATTTCAGAATTAGTTTCAGAAATAAAATTTTGGCCAAAATTATTTCGGAATTAGGAAATAGTTTCAGGTGGCAGCTTTAATTACGATGACATCATTGAAGATATCCAGTATAATTTGAAATGGTAACAATAAAATTGTCAAATGCACCACAGAGCTAGTCAAAATTCGCTATTAGTATTTATGACGATGTAGCAAATGGAGCAAGAGATTAGTAATGTAAGTTTAATTCATTTGCATCAAAGAGTTTTCAGAAATGCTTATGTGATTTAGGATTTGCACAGTCAAAAACTCAAGGAAGATATTAGGTATATGAAAACTACGTTCTTCAAGTTTCTTGTGACTACGCATATCAATATACTAAATTGCTTCAGTTAAGCTAACAATAAATTCCTTTTTTTGTGTGTTATTATATGATTAAGTAGACTATCCTTCACCATTATTGTAAATTCAATCAACAAGATCATTACGCAGTGTTTGCTTATGATTTCCTGATTGTGAAAATATTGCCAAATACAACTTAGATTTGCATACATTTTGCATCAAAATTGCAAAGCCGTTTTGTGATGCTGGAGTAGTTGTTGTAATATCAGTTTTGAGTTGGTAATGTATATATATTCCTACATCCTTCGTAAGTTCTATAATATTACAGTTAACTAGTTAAGACTAGTTTAAGTTGCAGGAACAGTTAGTGCCTCACTTAACTCGATACGTTCTATTTCTTCAGAATTTGTCACAGTAATATTGCATTCAAAAGATATTTCTTTATTAACAAGCTTTATAAAAAAATCTTTTAATGACATTTCATAACTAGAAAGAAAATGGATATACCAATCATGGAGTACTCGTGACCTTTTAGAGATGCAAATATTTGCAAATGGTATATTCAAGAAAAAAATGAATTCATACAAAGTTGAAGAAAATATATTTTAACGCGTTTTTTAAATTTTTCATATATGCAATTTTCTATAAGAGGTGCAGTTAAAAAAGGAAATCGAAATGATTGTTTAATTTCTAATATCATAATATATACAATATGCATATTTGCTTTATAAATTCATTTAAGAAGTATTTTTTTTTTGCCAAAGATCTTTATGACTTATATATTTAAAAATGATTCTCACGCTTAATTCATATTGTATTTATTAAATTGTTCATAAATCGTAGTATGAAAATTGAACTAAAAACTTGAATTAACTTGATATGTAAATCAATACATAATAAATACATAATACAATTTACAATATAAAATCTCAAATTTTATTGGTTTAAAATTTTTTGTTTTATAAAATTAAAATCCACACGCCCACATTAAATTGAGGCAAATTTTGATATGAGAATTGAATTTTTAACTTTATATCGTCTAATGTATATATAAAATTTGTATCACAGGTATCACTCTAGTTCTTTAGCAATATTCAAATTACAAGATGATCAATGAGAGACAGTTTAATTTATTTGATAAGCAGTCATACAGCACTTATAGTTTTATAAGAAAAATTTTAGACATGCATGTCCACTAGTAAGTATTAATCAAAAATTCTGGACATATGTATTTACAGAACTCTGGATATCACATATATAACTCACATTTGAGTTTTAGCAAATTCAATCAAAATTAGGTTAAACTCATAATTTTAGATAAAGCAAATTGATTGAAAATTAATTAAAAGTCATAATTATGAATTTTAGCAAATTGTATTAATTTTACAAAGTCATATTTTATATTTGAGCAAATTCTTTTTTAAAATTTTTTTTATTAACTTTTATAGATAATATTTTTAAAAATATAAGTTTTGGAGTTCAGGTTATATTTTGACTAAAATTAAGTATAATTCTAGCCAAAATTAAGCATAATGCAGGTCAAAACCCGTTTGATTAATTTTGCAACATTTTATTTTTTAATAATTATTTATATTTAATTTATTATCTTTATTAATTATTATTTTTATCTATAATCTACATATTTTTAATTATAAATTATAAAAATTGCCAGTTTAATTTATATTAATTATTTATTTTTTTATTGATAATAAAAAAAAAAGACTGTTAATTTCAGTAAATTAACAATTAAATTTACTAATTTACAAATAATTTGAATAAACTGAAATTATATTTTATTAAGCAAATTTAAACCTATATTATTTAGAATTTTACTATAACTCATATTTTGAGTTTTAGCAAATTAGTATAAATTTAAAATGGGATAATTTGATTTTTAGCAAATTAAGTTTATTTTAGCATAAGTAAAAAGTGCTAAATTCATGCAGATTAGTTATGAATTATATATGTAATGTCCAGAATCTTGTGTCTACTAATCATGCAGTAGTCAATTAAAAAAATATTATCACATATATTAAGGTTGCCTGCTTAAACCTCTCCAAAATTCTACGCATCGTTTTTATTGTTAATTCGGTAAGGTATTTTAACGAAATATTTGTAAAGACTTTTGTAAGTTTTTGTGGTATAGCTATTTATTGCACCATAAGATCGTATTGAGTCAATAATGTAATAAACCCATAAATGCAATTTAGGCAACTTCAAATTGGAAGGAGAAACAAATTTAAAAGCCTTAACAAACATCTGGGCCCATCTATGTATTGCATCCTAAATTTTAAACGTTAATTTAATTTATTATTTTAAACTTTCAATTTTACTAAAATTTTAACACATACTTTAAATTTCTCTAAGTTACTTTCACTAAATTTTTCATGTCTACTTAAAATATACATTTTATTCCAATATTTATACAATTTCGCAAGATCATCATTATTTACAAAATTATCTGCTTCGTTATTATTTTCATCATATAAATTATCAATAACAAATACCATAACTTTCATCAAACTTCGATATTCATTAGCAGTTAATCTTGCAATTGACTGCAGTCCATTGAAAAAAATTTTAATGCCAAGAAAACGTGAAATTGTTGCTAGATGGCGATTTACTTCTTCAACTAATTTATTACCATTAATATGTTGCAATTTTAAGATGTCGCATGTGAAGATAATTTGATAACAAAATAAATCCAAATCTAAATGATGCATTCTATTGAAAACAGTAATTAAATAGATATTTACGTTCCTTGATAATATATTAAATATTTATAATTAATATATATATGTTACATTAGGAAATTTGTTTTGGTGTAATTTAGTGTAATATTTCGAAAATGGTGTAAAATTTCAAAATATTACACTAAAAACGTAATATTACAAAAGTTTACACTCTTAAATTTGAATAATTATAGTAATTTAAGAATATCTCGCTAT